TTTAATTCTGCTGTATCTAATAGACAGTTAATCAATAGATAAATAAACAGCCAGACCTGCAGAGTTTTCAATGTAGAAGTACAAATTTAATGCAAACACCAAACATTTAATAAAGTAATCTTAATTATCTTACACCATTAACGTTTACAGAAATAGAGCTAAACCTTTTACATAGGATGAGATCTTACTTACAGTGTGGAGTAATGGTAACTTGTACAAATGTTAAATCAATCAAACAAGCACAATGTGCCAACATCTGAAGGTCAACCTCACTGACCACAACAGCTACTCTTATTGAGATCTGATTTCCGGCACTGCTGCCAAGAACAGTACAACCTATTTTTCAGTTTGCTTTGGGATTGCTTGTGTAATTAATAAAAGATTCATTTAAAAAGCTATTCTGTAGGCTATTTTATTTTATTTTTTGAATCCACATCAATATTTGTGACTAATAAATAATTTCTTTCATGTCCTTATACCCCAAAAATGAAGTGCAAGAGATGTAGAACCTAACTATGTAACAATTAATCAAGTTATCAGGTATGTTTTGTCTAACATCTCATACACATTTCACCGCTTTAATCGAGCTTGAAAAGCCAGTCCACAGTCATTTCCACCTCTGGAGGTCAGCAGCGTCCCGGAAACGCGCTGAATCACCCGCAGAAGAAGAAAGGCCACATTGCGCAGGCGTACACCACGTACACCGATGATCAGCGCTGTCTTGCGAACTTGATGCTAGCTGGCTACTAGCTAACGGTCTGTCAAGTCGCACACATTGGGCAGACGGGGGAAGCAGCGGTGGAGAAGAAGGGCGACCCAAGCGCCGCTACGAAATGGCCGGGCAACAGTTCCAGTACGACGACAGCGGCAATACCTTTTTCTACTTCCTAACGTCCTTCGTCGGACTTATTGTGATCCCAGCCACATATTACCTCTGGCCCCGGGATCAGAATGCTGGTAAGGCCCGATGTCTGGCTCAGTGCTAACTTGGCTAACTAACTAACCTCAGCTGGTGTAATGTGAAGTGTTCAACCAACGCTTTGGCCGGTAAATGCTCCCCGGTTGGCCGTCCGTCCGTCCGGCTGGGCAGACGCTGCTTCAACCTAACCACACGTTTACAGTAACTTGTCAAATGTGAGCCAGCAAAACGTTACAAAGATGGGGTTCACGTCTCACTGTGGAGAGCTCAGTACAAGTGAGATACTGTTAACAGACTACCACCCTGTTACCTACCCACCTGTCTTAACTGCTCACATCTACCCAGTGTTGTCTACTTCAGGGGTTCAACATGAGGCTGAGAGCTGGCGTGTTAAGCTTCCAACACCCAAAGCCAGTGTCCCTCTCGCAGGTTCTCCAGCTTATGCCTTTATTGACCTTATAGTTCTTATCTTAGTACAGTTATCTGTTTGTCAACAGGAAAAAAAGCATATCTAACGTGAGTTATGTAACACACGCTTGCAGACTTTACTCAGCTGGTCTGCTGGGAACAGCTGGATGACCAGTCACCATAGACTGGAGCTTAAGAGGTTGCTAAGAGTTGTTATATTTCTGTTAGGGTTTAAGATTAAATATTGTATGTAAGTTAGGTAACCCTAGTGAACATCACGGCTTGAACTAGATCTTCTCTTGTCCAGGCTGCGTTACAATGAAGTAATATGAGCTGAAGGTAGTAAACATACGCCTCTCCCTGCCTGGCTAACACATCCACACTAACTGTGTTTTCTTAGTGGAGATATCGCTCTCCCCTGGTTTAGATAGTCCTTTAATCCTACCCAAATTACTGAGTTCGATGGTTGCTAACGTGTCGGTAATCTCTCTCTGTCCATCCTCTTTGCAGAACAACTCCGTCTGAAGAGCCTGAGGAGGGTACATGGCAGGTGTCTGTGGTACCGGCTCAGGCTGATGAAGTCACAGCAGAGCATTGTCCCAACACTAAAGTGAGTCCAGTGATTTTCAGATTTGGCTTCCGCAGTTTCTGTTGTGAAAATAAACACGATGTACACAAATTCAGGGAGGGCGAATACTTCGTCGACACACAGCTTGCAGGTGATAGGATGACCTACCTCCGTTTCGAGGAAATTCATCCATAGCACCAACTTGAGGCGATTATACTAATGAATAATTCACTGTTTGTAGTTTTAATGGAATTGTGTTACACGTAACAATTGTAGCTTCATTTGGATCACTTTCATATAAATGTCTTAACGTATGATTAGCCATCATTTGCTTGGCAGTGTAATTACAGTTTTGCTCCCTTCTTCTTTGTTGTTAAATGTCACAGCACTCACTGTTGTTTGGGTGTGACTTCCCTGAGCTGTTTGCATTGAGAAAGCTCAGTCATCCTCCCACCACTGGAGCTGCTCCTGATAGCTTACTGGTCCTCTCAAGTGTGTGTGTGTGTGTGTTTCCAGCTGGACAGAGATGTTGTGACTGTTGTGTGAAGATGAAGCAAAGGCTTATGTTGCTTTCCCGTGTAAACCTCGTGCGCTGTTGGTCTAAATATTGTGTCGCGTTGTTTAACATATTTCTTAACGTGACTGTGTTTCCTCAGCGCTGTTTATTCATTCTGCATGTGTGGGTTAATGAAAAGATGGGTGTTCAAGTGTTGTTCAGTGTCTCACTCTGCCTATCTTCTTATGCTCATTTGCCTCCGTATCACAGGTATCTCCTCTTTGCTCTGTCGGTGCTTTCTCCACTGTTTGCCGTCACACTTCCACTTTCCACTCCTGTTCGGTCACTAGACCTACATCCTGTTTTTACCCTCAAAATTCATAAATTCTTCATCGGCTTGGTTGTGTCTGTGACTGGAGCTGGTGGAAGCATCTGGCATATTTATTAAATGGAATGAATCAAATTAGTTGTGTCAACCTTTCTCTCAAAATCTCAGTATCTGTTTCCTCTTCACAACTGTACCATAATGATAGTGTTTATTATAGGGAAACAGCATGTATTTTTCTGGTTGAGCCACTCAGACAACTCAGGCTAGTGAGACGTTGTCATGGCAACAGATGCTGCAGAGCAGGCCATAGGGTTTTGCCATTGTCATGGAAACAAGTTCGGCTTCCATGCATAAATACCAAACAACAACAATGTCAGAACCTGTCCTGCCCTTCTGCTTGCATCCAGTAGAATAAAAGAAAGCACTCTCTAGTCTTTCAAGTTACGACCTAACGTTTGTATCTTTAAGTGCTGAGAGCTACTTTGCATTGCAGATCGGTTCCGCAGAATATCTTAACTCCAAACAGTTTTAGCAATTGCAAACCACAGTGTGAAAACCTCTGCTAAAAATGATACAGGCCTGATGCTGTCTCCGAAAAGCACAGATGCTTGTGTGTGACTTCTTTTTTTTTTTCCTGTTTGTGTGTTGCCATTTTCAGGAAAGCAGCCTTGTTATTTGGTTGGGCTGTGTTCCTGCTGCTAGCCTACAAGGTGTCCAAGCTGGACAGAGAGTACCAGGAGTATAATCCATATGAAGTCCTCAACTTGGACCCGGTAAACACTCACAAAACATTAAGTCTGCTGTATCCTACAGAGCCTCTAAAGCCCTTAAAGACACCTTTTATCATTGGTGCTGATAAGTTGTGTAAGATGAGAAACAAGATAAAAAAATATCATCTTTCAGGACTTTTGAGACTCTATAGTATTAGTATATTTATATACTATATACTATACTTTATATACTATACTATATACTATACTTTATATAGTATTTTTGACTGTATCTTGCACTGTATGTGGTGTGTTAAGGAGCTGCTGTAAGTATATTTCTGTCTCCAGGGTGCATCGCTGTCAGAAATCAAGAAGCAATACCGTGTCCTGTCACTCAAGTACCACCCTGACAAAGGTGGTGATGAGGCCACATTTATGAGAATTGCCAAAGCCTATGCTGCGTAAGTGTCATTCAAATCCTCACTTTATTTTTTTGACTTTTTAAGCCAGACAGAAAAACTGCATCAGCATTAGCATCATTGACAAACAGATTAATTAGTCTGATTCATCTACTTCCTCGTATTTTTCCACAGTCTGACCAATGAACAGTCACGACAGAACTGGGAAAACTACGGTAACCCAGATGGCCCAGGAGGTGAGTGAAGCTGCCCTGAACCCCACAGTATGCGTTTGCATTTTTATGAGTTGGCATACCGTCTGTCTTCATGCTGGTGAGTCAGCCTCTTGAAGTCATGAACGTGTTAAACAATGGAAGATGAAACATGGCAACCCATTAATTCCAGTGCGAGCTGACACCCAGAGCCTACGATGAGAAAGTGTCTCCCTCTTTCACACACACTTCTGCTGTGGGTGTTCGCAATGCATGATCACTGGGCACCATAAATATCATGTTTATCGAGATTTTGGTAGCTTCTAAACTTGGATTATGTGGTTTAATTTTCAAATTCCAACTTTGTCTATGGTGCCAGAGTCGCCTCACAGCCCATTGCTGTTGCAGTGTTTAAATAAATGATTTTGATTCATTGCCTCTTATGTCTCCCTCTCTAGCAACCAGCTTTGGTATTGCCCTGCCTGCCTGGATTGTTGACCAGAAGAACTCAATGCTGGTATATATTTATTGATTATGTCAATGTACTGTAGTTTTAATTGATAAACCTGCTTTTGGATTTATCACAGTCCCTTTGGCATCCAACATAATAGCCCTCAGTTTACATTTACAACACTATATCTAGCAGGTATTGATACAGTGTGTTTGAGAATGTGATACAATATCACAAAACAAAATAAGTGTTAATAAGTGTTCAGATATACTTAATATTTAGGGATGCATGCTAATTATTGGGGCCGAAAAATGATCAATGAATTATTATAAATGGTCCCAATAATTAAATTACAGCTGATTAACTATCCACAATAATAATTTATTTTGACTTCTTATGCCAAATAATGTATAGGCTTTATGCTCTATGAAAGGCAAAGTACTTTATTAGAAGAAATAAATTAACATTTAAGGAGTCAGAACTGTTGTTTGTTGTTGTGTTAACAGTAGTGATGTCTGTTAGATTTGGTTAGAACAGAGCTATGCAATATTAAATCACCCATCTTTGCTCACTACATATTAGCATTTCTTACCGTCTAAAAGCTACAAGTTATATGAACTTCTTTTTATAATACAAAAATGCTAAATTATTGGTTATTGTATCAGCTGATAGAAAATCCACATTATGCATTGACATTTATTGTATTTGACTAGCAATGTCATCAAATAATGTCACCAATAACCCGTGTATAAGGTTATGTATACTTTTGTAGCTCTAATTTACATGTTGATTTTTGCTTTCCTCCGTAGGTGCTATTGGTATATGGATTAGCCTTTATGGTAATCCTTCCTGTTGTCGTGGTAAGTCCTCGCCATGATTTAAAACCAGGCTACAAACAAAGTACAAAACCAATTGCCCCAATTTCTCACTTTTCTCTCTATTCCTTTTTATTTTTCTCCTCCTATGTCTTAGGGCACATGGTGGTACCGCTCCATCCGATACAGTGGAGACCAGATCCTCATTAACACTACCCAGCTCTTCATGCATTTCATGTACAAGACGCCCAACATGAACATGAAACGTGAGTTTCCCTTCCCACACTTACAATGTTAGAACAAGACTTTGACCAGTTACAACCACAATTAAGCTGCACCAAGTAAAGGTTGGATACAGTGTTCAGGTAGTTAATTGCTGCTGGTGTAATGATTAATACATCAGTTCTATGTATATATTTTCCACCTGACAAAACAGGTTTATGAATCTCAGTTTCTCATCATCTTTTATTGGATTCATTGTGATATTCTATCATTCTGCCCTCCAGGGTTAGCCATGGTGTTGACAGCAGCATTTGAGTTTGACCCTCGCAGCAACAAAGAAGCCACCATACGACCAACAGATAACATTGAAGTGCCTCAGGTAATAACAAACATCAGCATACTTTGCTTATGTGTACATGTGTAAAAAAAAAAAAAACAGCTTCATCAGAAAGGAAACTTGCATATGTGTGTTTCTGTGTATGAGGAAGAGGTGGATTGTCCACAGTTGAAAGGGAAACACTTCAAGAAGGGCAAATTAACCTCACGTATGTGTCATAAACAACCTCTCCTGCCTTTCTTGCAGTTGATCCGTGAGTTGGGAAACATCAACGTGAAGAAGAAGGAGCCTCCATTTTGCTATCCTTACAGTTTGAAGGCCAGGGTCTTAGTGCTCGCTCACCTGGCACGCATGGACGTATCAGAGGAGTTAGAAGAAGGTAGGACACTGACATTTGACTGAATTGCAAAAGTATGACAAAAGTTAGGTTTGCATATCATAGGTATTACAACATTCTGTTTTAAACACGAGTAAATAATGGAAGCTTCTGTTGAATTTTGTATGTTCGCATAATACACAGTGAGTTAGCTGGAATTGCTCAGTCAGCCTTCTCTTAAGCAAGTGGTCAGGAACTGGTTTCACAGATGGGAAATAAAACGGCTGCACAAGCTGTTTGGACTCAAGTTGTGATGTCACCAGATTTCATTATGAATACACAACCCATGTTTACACTCCTACACAGCGGTTCCGAGGTACTTTACAAGGACAAACTGTTTAGAGAAGTTTTTTGATTATTTTATGTATTTTGCATTTTTTGGCCATCTGTTTCTGAACCGTTAGAAGCTGCAGTAATTAATACACTGTGTATGATGTGAATACTTCACCGGTGTCTTGACTGACAGATTGAATTAATGAGAAAACGGCACCAAAAAGCAAATGACACCGAACTGTGCATGTTCATGCTCAACATAAGTCAACCATTATCTTCAATAATGCTATTATAATGCTATTTTTTTTTCCTAATGAAATAATATCAAATACTGTATGAGGAAGGTCAGGTCACATGTTATTTAGAACATGGTATGTGTGTGTGTGTGTGTGTGTGTGTGTTTCTGTTCCAGATCAGAGGTTTGTGGTGAGGAAGAGTCCAGCTCTCCTGCAGGAGATGATCAACGTGGGCTGTCAGCTTACCATGATGGCCAACAGCAGAGGAGGTACCCACACACATGTCCAATTTAAAGCAAGCAGGCGTTATCACTCAGAATAAAATTCTCTCAAGCCTCAGCCCACATAACAACTTCTTTGATAAGTTTGCCCATTGGTAAATAATATGTTTGTTTGTGTGTGTGTGTGTGTGTGTGTGTGCACGCTCACTGGCTTGCATTCCTCCAGGTTTCCACGCTCCTCGACTAGTAACCATAGAGAATTGCATGAAGCTGACCCAAATGATAGTGCAGGGTCTGCAGGAGTCAAAATCACCACTGTTGCAGCTGCCCCACTTTGAGGAAGAGCACCTCCGCTACTGCATCTCTAAGAAGGTAACTGCTCAGTCTGTACCTGCACACATACGGAGAACAATATGAAGACATTTTTAGTCGTGCCACGGGTCATCGGCTCATCTGTCCTGTTCTCTCTAGTATAAAGTTCGGAGCCTCCAGGACCTGGTGAGCCTCAAGGACTCCGACAGACGCAGCATGCTGCGATTCTTGGGGGAGGAGAAGTATGATGAGGTCATGGCTGTGTTGGGCAGCTTCCCTCACATCACCATGGATACCAAACTACAGGGTCAGTCCTAAAACACAAACATACAAATACAACTTGTTTGGCCACCGGCTGACCTGTGACATGTCGGCAAATTAAACTGCTACTAATACTTAATTTAAGTATGACTTTGGCTGGTGCTGCTTACCTATGGAGTATAGTGAAAATAGCATAGATATGTAGAGAGAATAACATGCTGGGTATTATGAGTGCTTTAATTAATAATTGAAAATGTGCAATTTAATTTACCCACAGAGTCAGACAGTCATTTTGTTTACCATTGCATGCAGTTTGAAAAATATCAAATGCTGTTCATTATATTTTAAAAAGTTACCACTAATTCATTGTGGAACTGTACAGATTCTTGACTCTTCTTTTTCGAAACTGGATTTTGAATGTTCCTTTTTTTCTCTCCTGTTGACTTTGCAGTCCTTGATGATGAAGACAGCAATAACATCACAGCAGGCTCTATTGTCACAGTAACTGTCACCTTAACCAGAAAACGGATGGCGGTAAGGAATAAATGCATTTACTTTAAACATCAACATCATTTGACATAAAAGAGAGTTAATAGAAAGCAACTTTTGTGAATCAAATGGGTTTTTTATTTTGCTGCCTTGGAGACGCACTTCCATAGACAACCACTAGAGTGTGCTGTTGACTGCTTGTATTGTTAGAAAAGTATGAATTAACTGTTCTGTGCACTGTGTGTGTGTAGGAGGTGTTTGAAAAGGAGCAGGACTCAACGCCGTGTCTAGCAGAGGAGGCTTCCACTACAGAGGAAACAGTAAGGATAACACACACACACACACACACACACGAAGTCAACTCTGACCCATTCAGAAAACACATTCACTCTGTTTGGGTTAGATTTAGCTGTTGGTTTAAGAAATATATTGTTGTGTTTATCTAACCTCATTTTGTCTGTGTGTAAAGCAAGGAGACACGAGTAAAACCAAAACAAAAGTGTGGCAGAACAAGAGTAAAGGGGCTAAGAAGACAGCCAAGTCCAAGAAGAAAAAATTAACCAAGAAGAAGGCCACTCCTGCACCTGCCAAAACCAAGCAAGCCAATGGCAACGTAGCAGGAAATGTACGTGTCTAATCACAGCGCAATGAAAGCTGCTCAGTGATTTTATACCCATTTAACTGCATCATTTTGTCCTATAATAAAACAACATGCTGCTTATTTAATAAATTCTTGTTATCGATGCTGATGTCGCAGGAAGTCGTAGCAGCGTCAGCAGCAGCAGCAGCAGTGAAGGAGGAAGAGGACGAGGCCTCGGACAAGGGCAGCGAGTCGGACGAGGGCGAAGCCAACAAGGACTCTCCCAGCGAGAGAGACGAAGACAGCGACAAACAGAGCGACACAGAGGTGGACGAGATGGCCGGCGACGATGAAGAGGTCAGAGAACTTCAGCATCGGTTCTCATTCTCACAGAGAAGACTACTGAAAAAACACTGTTTGTACCTAACTCAACTCTCCTCTCTCCACACCTGCCCCCCCCCCATTCAGGAGTGGGAGGCGTTGCAGCAGAGCATCCAGCGGCGAGAGCGGGCCCTGCTAGAGACCAAGTCGAAGGTGACGCACCCCGTCTACAGCCTCTACTTCCCCGAGGAGAAGCAGGAATGGTGGTGGCTCTACATCGCAGACCGCCGAGATCAGACCCTCGTCTCCATGCCCTACCACGTCTGCACACTAAAAGACACAGAGGAGGTGAGTTGTGGAGATGACTGTATGCCTGTTTTTATTTATTTTTTTAGTAAAGAAAATAGCATAAGAGGTCATATTTTATATTAGCTTTCATTTCAGTGCTCATTTAGTCGTTGCATTACAATACGCAGCATTACAAAGTCAGTTCTGTGTGTGTTTGGGTGTGTGTTATATTAAAATGCTTTGGGGGTTATATTGTGGCTCATGCTATAATCCGTCTGGTGTAGAAAGGTCTTAATAAGTTAAAGTGTGTGGTAACGTTTCTTATTTCCTGTGCGCCGTAGCCCCTCACACATTCTGTTGCTAGGCAACCCTTTGCACTTGTGTCATTATTTCCTCCTAGGAGCGTGTGCGTGGTTGTGGGTGTGTGTTTATTTTGCGCGATTTACACGTCTGATACACGTGTGTTCTCCAGCAACGATAAGGACGGCGGCGAGGTAAAAGCTTAATGAGGCCTGTGTAAGTCTGCACGACCAGCCGTTCCCGCTCTGATGCAATGTCATGGCGAGAGGTGACCCGCCCATGCGTAACGGTTCCCTGTCTGGCTATCAATTAGTCTGTCACTTGAACAGTTCCTTCTGTTGTTTGTGTTGTGTGTGACTGTGTGTACGCTGCGTGTTTGACAGACGTGCTTTCGGGGAGGGCAGAGGGGCTGCTTTCATCAACAAGGCAGGGCAGCAAATTGCAGCTGTGTTCACAGCTCATTCTCCGCTTACATGCTGAATAATAATTGGCCTCATTGTGCTGATAATTAGATGTTTGCCATATGTAATTGCACGACATAGCAATCACAGCCTGAGGTAATGCTGGTCTAATATTTACAGTTGGACCCCGTCATCATGTTGGTGGTTCATTTGTTATTACCTACCGCATTGTGCCCCCCTGGAGAGGATTGTGGGCCATCAGTAACAGCGGATTGGATTTGTAATATTCAGCAGTGTTAGTCTTTTACAGGTTTGCCTCTATTAGTGTTTCTGCTCTTAACTGCAGATGACAGTCACCTTGTTTCTTCATGTGGTGGCAATTTTATTTCGACATCAACAGTAACAATCCAGCCACAAGTAGCCTTGTCACAGGCTTTACTGTAACACTACACTTAATACGTCAAGCAATCATGCCCTGTGAGTGCTCCTGTGATTGGATTTGACAGCTGTGTGGGTTTTTGTGTTTGTGTGTGTGGTGTTTTCCAGGTGGAGCTGAAATTTCCAGCGCCCTCCAAAACGGGCAACTACCAATATTCTGTCATCCTCCGTTCTGATTCCTACCTGGGACTGGACCAGATCAAACCACTCAAGGTGACAAGAAAGCTGTCTGTCTGTTACTGTGTGTGTACGTGTGTATTTGTGTGTGTGTGTGTGTGTGTGTGTGTGTGTGTGAGATTTGCTTGGAGGATGCTTGCCACTAGCAAGAACGGTTTGCAGAGCTGAGACAATACACCCACCGTTCACAGCCAACATGTACCAGCAGCTCGCTGAACAATGGTGTTAATTGCTGCCAAGGTGTTGGGAATAAGGGGATCTGTTACAAACAGAGCATGAATTATTTTTTTTTTCATTCTAACACCTGATAGACATTAAGCTAGAGTGATGTTGATGCAATTAATCAAAAATTCAGATATTCTTTTTCTTAACACTATTGTTACACCTCTAACCTCTTCGAGTAAAAGGTTTGAAGTCTGGCACACCACTTATCACACTCAACCGTGTTTAATGTAGTGCCACGTTACTGTTGGACAATGTCAAGTGCTGGATGGCAGCAAAAGCACTTTTCTTTTAGCCTCTGTTTCATCAACTCTTCTGTGTTTGGTTCGCCTCTTTTTCTCCTGCTTCTTTTCTAGCCGGTCATTCATTATTCATAAGATGAATTGGTGTCGCAGTCTTGACAAATAATGCTCATAATCTGTTATTACTCAGCGGCACCAGAGAACTGAAAAATACACATAAGAAGCAACAAAGTGCTTCACAATTTTCTTTAAAGGAATTCGACTCCTGCTTTACAATGGTTCCATTTGTTGAAGCTTAAAAACAAATGTTGTGTTTTCCCAGCTGGAGGTCCACGAGGCTAAGGCCATGCTGGACAACCACCCACAGTGGGACATCCCCGACACAGAAGAGGAGGACGAGGAGCAGGAGGACAGCGATGGCATCGAGGAGAGTGAAGATGACGACGAGGACAACGATTAAATGCGGATACATGCGCACACACACACACACACACACACACACACACACACTCAGCTACC